CCTGGGAGCGCCATGGGTCAGCAGTCAGCACACAGCAGAGCATTCCACAGTCAGCTCTAAACAAGGAGCTGGGACCAGCCTTGCACAGGACACCTTTCTGCATAATGCAGCTGACTGACTGGCTATGAAGGTTTTAAAGAGTATCTTGAAATGGTATCCAAATTTGGCATCATCTAAGTTTTAAACTTGCTCCGTGATATCTTATGGAGGAGATTATGAAAGATTTGATTTGCCAGACAAGGCTGCAACAGATAGTTAGGGATTATGACTAATAAGGAGAATCTGTTAGTGAAGATCTAGCAAGAACTGCATTAGTTACTGTGCCCTGTAGCTTTGGTTCAATGGCAGGACTCTTATGCTGTTAACCAGAAAATAAACAGAGGTGTGTTAGTTGGAAATGTTTGTCTCTCTGAATGAATCCTACCTGGTTGTTAAAGTCTTGGGGGAAATTGGTTAGGGAACAAGGCATTAGATCCACAAACAACTTATTACAAAAGGAAAGGGGCCTTCAGTTTGGAGACATTTCATGTCACCCCTCAAACCAAAAGATAAAAGGGTATGTGTGCCCCCTACTGGCATAGAGTGGGAAGAACACATTGCCTGTGTAATTTTGTGGCCAAAGATACTTCATTAGAGTTTATCAAGCGGAACTCATCTAGAAAGTGGGTTTGTCATTCTGACAACTGACCTGACATTCTTGTAAAGTTCAAAGTCATAAGGATAAAACAGGGGGCTGAGCAGGAACACTGTTTAGATGGAACACATATGGGCATCAGGGATATTTTCTTAGTCTTGATGTTGCTGATGATTACATGGGTTACACACAGGTCAATGAAAATTGAAATTTGGCAGTTTATTGTTTGTCAATTATCCTTTAGAAAAGTTTTGAAGAAAAAGTAATGGGAATTCCTCCAGTTTAAAAAACACTGAAGCCATGTGACAATGGATAAACTTTTATTAAAATATAAATTTTGAAAATATATTGAAAGATAGCTTTAGATCAATTTGGAGAAATTGGTATTATGAATTAATATAATCACTTTGGGTTTTGGGAGTGACACAAAAGATTAAAATTTCTTCAGTTTGTTAAATTCAAATTTCAATTTGTTAAGGCAGATTAATTTGCCTCTATAGTAATTTTGTGTTGTTAAAAGCTGATGATGCTGAATTCTCTTAAATAAAATGTTAAACTCAACATGTTCTTTTGTTGTAAAAGAGCTGATGTGTAAAATGCATCATAAAAAATTCATTGCTGCCTTCCCTACTTTGACCACTTCCAGTCAGTAAATGAATGATTGCAATAAATTATTTGCCCTTCACTCATTTTGCATTATTATTATTCCTGAGTTTGGACAGTCCTACACTCCACAACAACTTTCTATCCCAATTTTCCAGCTTTTCCTTTGAGATTTTGATATAATTTTAGTAAGGGAGATAGAAATCTGTATTTAAAGTAAAAAATGATTAGGTTCATTTTTCATCTTTTTTTTTTTTTTTCATTTTTCATCTTTAAGAATCATGTGGCAGGGCCTCCCTGGTGGCACAGGCGGTTGAGCGCCGCACTGTGAAGCTGTCCACAACCTCTGCAGCACGGGTTTGATCTCGGCCACCGGGCGAGAATCCCACATCACGCTGCAGACCTATCCTGTCTCACCCGCTACTCCCCTCAGCAGCGTATTTCATCAGTCTGCCTGTTCTGTTCCCCGCTCTGTCTCTGGTGAGTCCTTTCACCCTCCTGCACATCTGGCCCATACCCCAGTTCTTGTATAAATAAATAAATCTTAAAAAAAAATCATATGGCTACTTGAATACCAATTTTGAGATAATGTGCATGCTATTCATGATCTTATTTTGTCACTATTTATACATTAAATGGAAAGCATTTCCAAAATGCAGTTTTGAGAAAAAGGGTTTTAATAGAATTTTCAATGTGTGAGGTAAATATTTGCAGAAGTCAAACACTAGGTGGCACCCAGTCCTCTTTGCATTGGAAATAATTGCTGATTCTGAACCTAATGTGCAAAGAAAAACTCCCCACAAGAATATTGTTTAGATCATATGCATGTATTTAGAATATATTTACAAAAGAAAGTATGTGAAAAAGTGTTACATTTTCAGAAATCAAATCATGTGAGCTACAATTTTGAGTGCCTTAGAAACATTTAATTTATGTATAAATGAAATGATATTTCCAAACAACTAGTATAAATTAAGCCTTTATTAAGCACAAATTATATGCAGTGGGAGAAATGGGAAGGGGAGTTAAAGATGACCTGGGGTGGAAGTGAATGGCTATGATCCCTGAAGACAGGGAAGGAAAAACACACATGTCCATGGTGAGGAAGGCCCTGGAGACGACCAAGGTGCCCAGTGCTAGTCACCAGCTGGCGTCACCAGCTGGCATCTGCAGCTCCAGGTTGCTCTGTGGCTTTCAGAGCAGGGGATGTAAGAACTTGCACCCTGAAGATGGTGAGAATGAAGGCCAGAAAGAGTGAGGCGAAGGATGAGTTACAGTCTCCCTCTTAGATGCATTGACCTTCAGTGTGTCTCCCTGGGACTCCTTGCAGCCCTCAGGCCAGCGGCTGCCCACAGCCACTGCAATGGATTCACAACCATGCTCTCAAGGCTTTTGCTTAGACCTCCATTAACTTTGCAGTTAGTCTTCCATTAATTTGTCTCAAAGGTTTTCCTTGGCTGACACTGGAAATTCCCACCATGGGGATTTTCAGAGGATGGCAGGACACCAGCTTCCTCTTGAGCAGCAGGAGGCTGCTGCACAGCAGGAGGGCTGATGCCCTTGGCCCTGCGCAGCACCCTCCGGTATTTCAGGTACTTCCTCTTGTCCCTGGCTTCATGCCAGGGCAACTAGAGTAAGATGATAAAATAATAAGCCACGTTCATTTCCTGCACTCTCAAGCCACACTTGGCCCATCCACAAGCTACCCTGCTCCATGGGCATATTGTCAGCCTCCCCTGGACTTTTAGGTGAGAGGGGCCTCATCAGCCTCCAAATCTGGACAAACTCGGAAAGTGGATTATTCCCATGGTGATAGCAACAGATTACTTAGGATATTTTATAATACCTCTTCCATTCTTGGGTTTTCTCATCCCAGGAAGCCCAGTGTTATTTGTCTTTTGCATTCCAGCAACTATTAGACAGTCCATTTTTGCCCTTCTTTCCTATAATTACTTATAAAGTAGGGAAGTAATTATTATTTGTAATTATTTGTCATGAGGAAGGCATGGGAATAGAATAATTTCTTTGAACTTCTAAAATAAAAATATTTCTAAATGTGTAAATACATCACTTGTTTGTTTTTATATAATTTTTAGCTACAGATGTTTATACAGACTTTTCTCAATGTAGAAATATCACTATAATCTCTGTCCTTTGGTTTTACATTGAGAAGCTGAAAGTGAAGCTTTACAAGTGAAGGCTGAAAGCAACAGATGCAATGGATCAATGTAGGTGGATATGGGAAAAAAACCAAAGACACATTACACTTCTCACCTCTAGTGAGAGCCGATGAAAATCTGTTGCAAAGTGCAAACAGCATTTAGAGCATGTGCACATCATACAACTAAACACTACAATAAAAATGTCTCTGTCTCTCTGTTTATTTGTACGTGATAGAGTATTTCTGGGAGTTTAGAGAAGACAGTAAAGAATGGCCGTGCTGGAGGGCGGTGAGGAGACCTGGTAACCGGGTGTGGGAGCAACTGGCTTTATAGTGTCTTCCACAAGAGATTTTTTTGTAATTCTATTTCTAGGTTTCTCTAAATTTCTCAAAGTTTATCTGTGTCTGAGTTTATTTCTCAGAATATCATTCCAGTTTTTAAAAAATCTTCACAACCGCCATTGTCTCTGCCATATCTCTAAAGCCACCAGAACCAAGGACCAGCCTCCGTGTGCCTCTCTCACCTATCTGTTCCTGCCCCAATGCATATCCAATCACCCCCTGTATTTCCTAGCTGGCCCCTCCCATTCAGAGATTAGGAAATGAATAACTATAAGAAAGTGAAAATCAAAATCAACAAAAAACTATGAACCAGAGACACTTTTAGGGGGGCGGGAGGGGAGGGATTGGGGTCAGAATGGGGGGGCTGCAATTGTATGGGGAATATAAAAATAAAATTTATTATTTAAAAAAAATAAATAAAGGGCTTAACTTAATAAAGTCTAGTTAATAAAAAAAAAAAAAAAGAGATTAGGATTTGTAGGCCAAGGTGGGGGCAGGAAATGGTGGCCCCCAGAGGCAACTGCTCTGGCAAGTCCTCCCAGTTTCTTGGAGCTGCTCTCTGAAAGAGATAATCTCATTTTTTTCAAATAGTACCCTTGAGTTTGAATTTATTATTGTTTTGATTCTTCCTTTCATAATAAATCAAATCAAAACAAGTTATGAACCTTAGAGCTAAAAAAAAATCCATGTTAAACAAAGTATAGAAGAAACACAATGCAACATTGCAATCAAGGAGAGGAAGGTGGCAGTCACTTACCCTACACAGAAATCTCTCCAGGGAGAGAGGAACAATCCACACTGCACTGTTCCAAATCAAACAGAAAATTTTATTGATCCCCAACATTTGAAAACCAAGAAAATCTGGTATTTAAGCAAAATAGCATCAAAGATGGGTCCTTCTCTATGTCAATTATGTCAGGATATAAATATAACTTCAGAACTCAGATGAAATCACCTCACTTCATTTTTCCTTTTGCGATAGACATGAGCCTCTGTTCCAGGTGAGTCATGTAGGATATACCAGGAAATCCCAAGTCTGTTGTGGAGGGAAGAATCTGCTGGACCATCCCTGGAGGATGACCCTGTCTTTATTACTATGGCCATAAACCAACCGTCCTATTGCTCTGCATGAAGAAACCAGTCCTACCTTCCACATAAAAACATTTGAAGAAACGCTGGACAGGCCAGTGTCTGCCCCTCAGCCCCGCCCCCCCCCCCCCCCCCCCCGCCCTCACTCAGGAGGACTGAAGGGACCCACTGAAAATTATCTCCTGGAACTGTCTCTTCTCATTCTCCTGCAACTTTTAAGGTGTTAGGGCTCATCATCTCTTCCTGCGCAGACTGTGAGGGGCTGAGAATCCCAACCCACACAGAAGTAAGGCTTGAGTACTTGAGAAAATGTCTCCCTGAAGGAGTGGATGTGGGACCTGTCGTGCACGCTGTAAAAGGAAATCTGGCCCAGCTCATAGTCCAGGTAAATGCCGACCCCTCTGGGCTTCTCCTTCAGAGCCAGAGGCACAGACGCGCGGCCCACTGCCACATAGGCCCCAGCGCACAGCCCAAGGGTCCAGCGCGCGTCCTGACCTGCCAGGGGCCTCTGCCTCTTCCTGGACGGGGAGTCTGGACACAGCCCCACGGCCCACTCAGGCTTGTCTCCCACCTGCACCTCCCAGTAATGGCGGCCTCCCCGGAAGCCTTGAGTACCCAGCACCGCCGTCTCAGCCACGAACCTCTGCGGATTCCGGGCCACTTTCTGCCTTTTCCTCACAAATGTCACAGACTTGTGATCCTTGGACACGAGCAGGTTGGGGTGTGCTGTCTGGGGATCCAGAGTCACTTCCTCCCTGAATCTCTGGATAATCTTCTGCAGAGCAGAATACAGGGGAGGGAGACTGAAGCCTTCCCACCTTAACTGGAAGGAGCTCACAGCTGGGGCCTCCAGGCTTTGACACCTGACCTGGAGGCTCTTGATATCCCTCAGCAATTTCACCTCTGACATCACACTCCTCTCTGCCACCTCCTTGAGTAGCCCTTTCAGGGTGGAAATGTGCTCTGTTAAAGTCCTTATGCGGGCACTGATTTTCTGCTGAATGTCCCTTTCTTCTTCAGCCAGCTTGGACATGGCTGCCTCCTGCTCACGTTCTACAAACTGGTTCAGGTGCTCAAATTCTGAGGCTAGTTTCCACCAGCGGTGTCCTGCCTGCTCTCTCAGCTCCACTAGTTTTCTGTCTTGAATAGTAACTAGTTTCTGCACATCTGCCACCTGCTTCTTCAGGACCTCCCTATAATTAGTGAGCCTTTGCCTATGGTGGGAGGCGGCCTCCTCCATGGGCCTCACCAGGTGACCCTGGTGGTCAGAGGTGCACAGGCCACACACCACCTCCAGGTCATCCTCACAGAAGAGGCCCAGCACCTGGTTGTGCCGCTCACACAGGACCTTCTCTTGCTGCCTGCTCTGGCTGCTGCTGCTGTGCACCAGCTTGACCAAATCAATCATCCTGGCCAACTGGGGGTTGGCACTGAAGTGCCTCTCTTGTTGTGGGTAGCGGCAGACAGGGCAGGGGAACCTGTCCAGGAGATCCTTCCAGGACTGCTGGATGCATGAGCGACAGAAGTTGTGGCCGCATGGGATGGTGACGGGGTCTGTCAGGAAGTCCAGACAGATGGGACAGTAGACCTCTGCCTGCAGTGCTGCCAGGGTTGCTGGGATCTCCATTGGGCCGCGTGTGAAGGCCTGGGCTGGGCTGAGGAGGTTTCCTCAGGAGTTTGGGCTGGGCAGGCAGCTGAGAGGATGTGGAGCCAAGCTCAGCAATTCTCTAGTCACAAGTCAGCCAGGCTCTAAAGGGCCTCTTTGGTCCTGAGGATGAGAAAATAAGGTTAATTTTCTTGTGACTCTGCTTACCACCACATTTAGAGGGGATCACTGATTACCATTTTCCACCAAAAATCCCAACTATCTTCACATCAAATCCACAAGTACTGAATAGTACTAGAAAGTGTGTATGGATTTGGGGACAAAAGCGCCTTAATTTGGGTTAGATTCCCCTTCTGTCAGCTATGGATAAGGTTATAAAATTACTTACCCTCAAATCAATGGAACTGGAAACCAAAATAAAAGGGAAGTGTATAAAAATAACCTAGATGGAGACTGAATATCCTTTGAGGTGTGATCTCAATGCTATCAGAGCATGCACTGAGGAAGCCAAGGTGATTACCTGCTCTGGCCTCCTGCCCAACCTAGTCCCAGCTCCCTGCTTACCTGGATCCCAGGACTTCAGCGGCTGTGGGAGGGCTAGGTGGGCCTCTGAGATCAATTCCTTGAATGGGCTATGAAGCCAGGCTGGAAGCAGTATGTGAAGTCTCTGATGGGGCCAGGGTATTTATAGACCACTGAGGGGGCATGGGGAGCTCTAGGGACCACACCCAGGAGCCTTGGTGGCTCCTCCCCCAAGGAGGGAGGGTGGGGAAGCCTGGACCTCAGTGAGATCAGAGGTCCTAGTTGAGGTGTAGAGAATCTCCTGGGACTAAATGGGGGCCACAAGGGTCGGGTGGTAATTTAATATGCAGCTTCTCATTTGCATATTCGTAATCCTCCCTAATCTTCTTAAAGCCACTTAATCCCATTTTGCTTACCAGGAAATTGAACCTAAAAGGTTTTGTGAGGTGACTGCCTCACAAGAACCTATAAATCGACTCTATCAGTTTCACCTTCCTTCCCAGCCTGCAGGTTCCAGCACTGCCTGGACCACTTTTAAATGATTTTCCCTCAAACACTTTTTAAAAATCTTTGAATTTGTAATCAATCACCTGCTACCTTAAAATCTACCTGTTTCCATTTTCGGGACCCGGACAGCCAGGGTGTCTGCGAGAGCGCGCGAGGCTGCAGCCTAGGACCTCGGTCATCCGGAGCCAAGGGCGCCCCAAAAGATGACCACCGGGGCAAGGCCAACCTTTGAACCCGCGAGAGGTGGAAGAGAGAAAAGAGAAGGGGATTTGAGCTAACTCTCAAAGCATTATTCAAGCAGAGACCTACCTTCCCATACAAAGATAAAATACAGACAAACTGCTCAGGATGCCCCTGAAGAGGTTCGGAACTGCGACTTGCGGAGGGAGTTGGCGGAGAGGGAGCGAGAAAAATAGAGGTCGTCCATCTCGGGAAAGGACGACCTCCTCTTCAGTGTCAAAGAAGTCAAAGAAGCCTCGCTTAGACCAGCTTCCCGCTGCGAGCCTCGGTACAGATGATCCTCTGATAGCGGAGGGAGATGAAGATGTTACAGAGGAGAGTGATGATGATACAGCAGCTCTTCTTGCAGAACTAGAAAAAAATTTAAAAAGAAAGAGCCCAAGGGCAGGCCAGGGAGGAACAAGAACAAAAAGCTTAAGAAGAAACGATTCGATTCGTCTGGAAAACTTCCGCGTGGGAAACCCTCTCCTGAATCTGGCTGGCCCAGCCCAGCCTCAGGCCAACTTCAAGGTCAGCAGAAGGTGGGGTGACGATGTTGTTTTCAAGAACTGCGCCAAAGGTGTCCATGGTCAGAAGAAAGACAGAAGATTTGTGAACGATGTGCTGCGATCTGAATTTCACAAGAAGTTCATGGAAAAGTATATTTAATAGTATAGTTTTACGTGCTTAATTAAAGACTATAAAATTTAACACTTCATTTGGATTTTGTTTTTTTCTTTGTTCTGTCTGAACTGTGGCTAGGTCTTCCTCACTGTAAGTTCCCATAAGATCCTACTCGAGGAGGACTTGGGATCTGGTTTCACCCAGTTTCCATCCTGTGAATGTTTCCAGTCGCGTTTTCCTTTTACTGGGAAAGGTGATCTACTTGTAATATTTTTAATAATCTAAGTGAAAAACACAACAACAAAACCCTAGCTATTTCCACTCTCAATATCCGTGTAATGGTAACTCCATTTACCAAAGTGCAAATGTAGAATCCCTAGAAGCACCTATGATTTCTTTCCTTCTTTAATGACAACCAGTCAATCCAACAGCAAGTTCTGTGGGCATTAGTTTGAAACTATATCAGTGCTTTCTTATACGCATTTCCCAGCTCCCTCTGTTACAGGGCAGGGAGGGGGCACCCCAGACCCCACAAACCTGCCTGCTCTAAATAGGTTCTGCCATCCGCCGCATCAACACAAAACATTTGAGACTTTAATGGGAAAGAACTTTAATATAATTAGGAAACAATACAGGAAAGACAAAGAATAGAGTTTCTAAATCAAGCACCCAAAGTTACCCGTCCCCTCGTGGGTAAAAGTCCACCCAAGCAGGATTGGCCCAGAGCAAGGCCCCAAAGCCTGCCACAAGTCTAAAGCATCTTCCAGTGGGGACCCACAGAAAAGGGTCAGAAACAACCAGACAAGTCTGGAAGGAAAAGATCAAAATCAAGACAAAGACTGCCATTGTCACCTCCCCACGGGTCTCTGACCCACATCTGTGTCACCCAGTCCACGACCAAAAGGCAAGTGTAGTTTCACGTGTCTCTCGGCTCCATGTGCCTCCTCCAGGTCTCCTTCTGGCTCGCTATATGCTGCTTTCTTCCTTCCTCAGTCTCCTCTTCAGCCTCTTCTCTCTGCTCAGCTCCACCCTCCTTTTGGGTGGGCAGGAAATCTGGAACCTCCCCCTTTCCTGGGGACCACCCTGTTACACCTCTACTCTGTCCCTCTTCCTCACTTTCCCCTTTAAGGACACAGTAGGAGTGGGAAAAGTCCCATTTCATATGAATCCTGGTGTTAAGTATGAACAAAACAAGCCCAAGATGGAGGCCTTGCGGTCAGGAGCCCATCAAGAGTTAATCCATAATCTCACTGCAATTTCACCTTCTCCCAGAAGTAGAGTCATAAGCCAATCAATCGAATTTCCTGGTAAGCACCAGTGAGGTCATCTTCATAAGACTTCATGCGTTTTCTTTTGGGAAGCTGGCTTTACCTGAAATAATCTTTTATTTTGCTAAATAACATGTCCACCTCCTTTTTGGAATATCCTCACTGTGTAACCCTTTGCAGGATCTGAGTGGGACGCTTCCCCGACTTATGCATTTCATGAATCATTTAATAAAATTAGAACTTTAACACTGTGACTCCTGTTTTGTAGCACTTTGTTGGGTGTGACAGAATTCTAAACAAACTTCCATGGTAAAATGGGGATAAGGAAAAACAGAGTCAGGATGCTAGAGAAACATGTGGAGTTTTCCATCTTTTTTACCATTTTCCATGGTCGTGCATAAGTTCCTCTCAATTGGAGTTCAACTCTGCTTTAAGCTTTTCATCTAATTGGCTTTTCTGTCTGAGCTTTGTGGGTAGCTCGCTACCCTGGCCTTTGTCTGAACATCCATGCTGGAGGTCCCTTTCCCTTTTTCCAGATGTTGTGTGGGAACTGTGGGTGAAAACTGCACCCCATAGTTTAGACTCCTCCAGATTCCTGTGGAAACTTGGTGGCAGTTGCAGTCCGTGGTTTGCAGACCCCCTTCTTTGAAGTCAGCTGGTTCCGGACTGCCCCCATTCCCTCACTGGGTACTGCTAGCCCCTCAGTTTTGTTCTTTGGACACTGCTGGAGTATGTGTGTAACAGAGGAACCTCCATTGAAAGAGGAGGCTCCATGTCCCCTGCCCCACCCCATGAAGAGTGGAGGTACAGGGCGAGGGGAAGCTTGAAACACAGAAGAGACACAGGGAGTAGAAAGACACAGGAGAGAACACTTGGAGACAGACACATGGAAAATAAGGGCATGCTAGCTTCTGGGCTTTGGATTTGCACCTAGGACTTGGGGGACATGGAGTCATGTGGAAGACAGACACTTGGGAGAGATTTATGTGGTAAAAGACCCTCGAGGAAGCTGACAATGGGTGCGGTTTTGATTTGTACTTTGATTCTGCTTCTATTATCCAGTTTCTATAGTTCCCTGCAAAAAGGTGCTTTAGACTTGTGGCAATCTTTCAGGCCTCAGTTACCCAGCTTTGGGCCAACCCAGTTTGGCTGGGCATTTCCTGACAAGAGGATGGGCAAATTCAGGTGTCTCAAAGGAGAATTTTCTTATTTTTCCTTTCTCAACAGAACATAACCTAGTACTTTAGTTTATATCAAAACATCTGTCCCTTAGACCACCTCCCCCACCCTCAGACCCCTCCATCCCATTTAAGATTGGTCTGTATTTTAGCCATTTAGTTTTTTTTTTTTAAAGATTTATGCATACAAGAGCTGGGGTACAGGCCAGAGATGCGGGGGGTGAGAGGATTCACCAGAGACAGAGTGGGAAACAGAACAGGAGGATCTACTAATAGTGCTGAGGGAGCAGCAGGCGAAACAGGAGAGGTCTGCTGTGCCATGTGGGTTGCTCCCTGGCCGGCCGGGGATTGAACTCGTGCTGCAGAGGCTTCAGATTCCTTCATAGTGCGGTGCTTAACCCCTTGCGCCATCAGGGAGGACCCCATTTAGGTATTTCTTAAGCACAAAAAAAGGAGAGTAAAGAAGGAAAACTAAATAGGAAGACAAGAATGAGGCCATGCTTCGGCTTGAACTAGGGCCGGGAGGTCTAGAGGACAGAAGTGTTTACAGGGATGTGCTTCCCCTTCTGGTGAGGAACTGGCAACCATCCAAACCCAGAATTAGTGAGATTTCTTTTTCAAATGGTTTATTTTCCCAGGGCTGCCAGGGGGCGGGGGCATTAGGACTTTAGAAACTGGAGCTGTCCTCTCTTGGCAAGGCTCTGGTGGGGTCAAAGACTTGAGCAATCAGAGGTGATTTGTTTGCCCGCTTCCCAGCTGAATGTGGCTAATTGTCCTGGTCCAGTCCTCTTCTGTCTAAATAACAGAGCACAGCATCATCATCTCAATCCACTGGGGTGATACATCCTTAAGAGATTTTTAGTCCTGAGGAATTAGAGCTAAATCTAGTGGTAGGGCTTGGGGAGACCCTGCTACTACCAGCATTAACACCACTTCCAACAACACCCTGTGCTTGCATCACGCTGTTTTGGGTGATCTGGAAGGAAGATGTTTGTTAGGACAGAATATCCAGCTCTTGGCATTCTATGGAGATGAAATCAATGATTTTGAGGACCCCAAAGAGAATCACTGATTTTACAAAAGTTTAACAAAAAGTCAACACTTCCTCCTTGAATCATTAGATGCTATGGTTTCTGAACATGGGGGCAGAGGGGAGAATGGTCTTCTCATGGGCTCCTCAAAATGCTGCTTCTCGGGCTACAGCCAGGTCTACATTTATGCCTCATTTGGGACCTAAGCCATCATTCCCAGAGGCTTTCTCTGGAGCTGCTACTCACCATGTGGGTGAGTTATTTTCCAACTTTGTTTTTTTTTAAAGATTTATTTATTTACACAAGAACTGGGATACAGTCAGAGGCGCGGGAGGGTAAGAGGATTCACCAGAGACAGAGTGGGGAGCAGAATAGGCAGATGGACCGAAGACACTGCTGAGGGGAGCAGCGGGCGAGACAGGAGGGGTCTGCCGCACCATGTGGGTCCCTCGCTGGCATGGAACTGGTGCTGCAGAGGCTGCGGACAGCTTCACAGCGTGGCGCTCAACCTGCTGCGCCACCGGGGAGGTCCTATTTTCCAACTTTGTACTCAGTTTTTAAGATGGGCAAGTCAGGCAAGACGTTGTAACTGATTGAAATAGCTCCCAGGTTTAAAAGCTAATCATATACTCCTCCGTGGTCCCCGTGTAGCTGTCCCGGTGGGACAGCCGTGTCTTTGAGCAGGGGACAGTGTCACACTCCAAGGAAAGAGCCAGAGGTTCGGGCCATGGCTCTGTGACCCCCTGGCCCAAGTCACATCTGCGAGCGGCTGAGCTTCTGCATCTGGGCCCGTCACTATCAGCTGGGCGGTGCACCTAACGCACCGGGCTGTTGGGAGGGACTAGATATGACAAAGGATGTTGACTATTTTTTGTCCACAGAGCCCACCACTGTGCAGCATTAAATTCATTTTTGTTGAACTTCATCTGTTTTAAGAACAAAGCTAAATAAAAACGCTGGGTTCCTAGGCATTTACCTACAAAAAGTCACCTCTTTTCCTCCTCTCCATTTCTCCAGGCTGCTCTCTTACCATAAATCCTCCTCCTCTGGACCCCAGAAAACTGTTTGCTCCCTGGGAACGGCAGCTCCATCAGCGCTCTCAGAGGGACTGCTCCAAGCCACTGTGGGAATGAGAAAAAAGGCCCCATGAGCACTGTGCTGAGGGAGCTCAGCCGCACACTTCCCTGGGCACCAGGCAGTCCCCCAGCTCACCAGGTATCTTGGACACGATGTTCTGAAGGCCATGGAGGTGGGGGCTCCCTCTTGACTAGATTCCCTTAGAGGGGAGCAGAGGCAGTTCGGCTCCCCTGCGACCTGGTCTCAGCCTGAGCTGCCAGCACTGTGCCAAGCCACGCTGTCACCTTGTCCTGTACACCATGGTCACGGGGCTGCCACTCATGGGAGAGGACTGCTGGAAGGCTCCAAAGCAAGTATTCTCATAGTCCTTATAGTGGTGGATTCTGTTACTGCCGTTTGTGTTTTTACAGGGTGGTATACAACAAAAAGTTCTTAAGTCAAAGTCCAGGAACGTCCTAGCTGTCCCACAGCCTTGGCTGTGACCAGAGGGAGAGGCTGGAGGCAGGCAGGTTTGTAAGCGTAGAGGATTTTCATCATGGTTGCTGGTCTCCTCTGGGGCTATTGCATCGCTGCATGTGGCACGGGTGGAGGAGGTGGATGGGGTCCTGGTGGTGCTAGAGGCAGGGCTGGAGGTGGTGGTCCTTGGCTCCAGGATGGCTGGGAGACTCGCAGACTGTGTTTCTACTGCTGGCCTTGGGCCCTGAGCCTGGGCCACAACAAAATGCCAGGAGGACAGGCTCGCACATAGGGGTTGCTGTCTGCCCAGACCTTCAGCTGAAGGGCGGGCTGGGGAAGGATTGTGGCTATCGGGGAGCAGTGGGGGCAGGGTGGGGAGAGCCTCCCCAAGATGGCACAGCCCTCCACCTTATGCTTCTGGGCTCTCAAGGTAAGATACGATGCCATAACATCGTCAAACCATCTCGCTGCCACTGATTTGTGGATTTGGTTCCTTTACACCCCATGACTCTCATGTCCTTGTCCCCTGGGATAGCTGTGACGGGATGACTCAGAAAAGACACGAGTTCTTTCATGTTTACTGAGGTATCGTATGTCTTCTGTTTTCCCTGTCTCTGGGGTTAAAGGTCATCATTTTTTCAACAGATTTTCACATTCGGGTGACGAGAGGGGATGTGGAACTGTCCACTGAGTGCACACTGCCGCAACTTACAGAAATCCTCTCCTACAAAAGGCAGGGTCCCAGTGACGCCCACCAGCTGCAAGTGTCTGCTGTGGGGCCGTCCTAACATTGCCGTCGGGAGGGTTCGGGGGCAGCTTATCCGGGCTACCACCATAGGTGTTCAGTTTTGGGTCAGTAAATACTATACTATACTCAAGCCACAGTCTGCTGGTTTTATGTTCTGCTATCAACAAGGAGGTTCTCTGGTTTCAAGTCCCGCTGTGCTATACCTTTCTGATGGCAGTACCTCAAGGCTGACATGATTTATTCAAACTTGCCTCGGGTCTTATTTTCTACCAGGCAGTGGTCCTGGAGATAATCATGCAAGTCTGCCCCTTTCTTATGCTCCACAGCGAGCATGGGCACTTCCCTTGTCAGTCACCACGAGCGGTGGCTCCAGGCCTTCATACTGTGGGCTGCGCAGGAGCTCAGCGTCTTCTTGATAATCTTCATGGCCACCTCTGCGCTGGAATTCACCGTGGCAAAGGCTCCCTCACCTGAGAATCATGTAAATTGCTGATCTGAGTCTCTTCAGCAACAGAGGTGACCATAGGAGTTGGGGCCCTCCTAACTACACTAATACTAACAAAGCTAACTACGCTTAGTATCTATGCTAACAGAAAGTACAATGCTAACTAAATGCTAATTAACAATCATTATCTAAATATGCTAACCACACTAACAGTACTAACAATGCTAACACTAAGTATCAGAGGAAAAAAAAAAAGAATTTATAGAACAGACAGGGTCTATCTCCCCCTAAAACCTGTGCTGGTTACTCGCTTCTCTCACTCTTGGTCCCTTCCCTATGTAGACTCAGGGCTTGGTTAGTGCAGAGGCATCCCCCCTGGGTGGCCATCCAAGAGCGAACTTCCTGGTGAGAGCTGATGGCTCTGGACTGCCCCTCCTTAGGGTTTATTGCAGCATGCATGCCAGGTCTCTCTGCTCTGGCTGCTTTTGATCAATGGCTGGGACCTTGGGCAGGTTTTCCCCTAATGAATATTCAGGAAACAAAGTATTCTGACAAATATTAGAGTGAGGCCAATTTACCTTTACCTTAGACAGACCACACCCTCAACAAAGGCCAAACAGGCAAGGATAATGTCAATCAATTCATTTTTGTTTTCTGTCAGTTCTAGTTCTTTTTTTTTTTTTAAGATTTATTTATGCATACGAGAACTGGGGTACAGGCCAGAGATTGGGGGGGGTTTAGAGAATTCACCAGAGACAGAGCGGGGAACAGAACAGGCAGACTGACCGAAATACACTGCTGAGGGGAGCAGCGGACGAGTCAGGAGAGGTCTGCCGCGCCATGTGGGCTGCTCCCTGGCCGGGGATCGAACTCATGCTTCAGTGGCTGCGGATAGCTTCATCAGTTCTAGTTCTAATGAACTAAAATATGGCTTAATAACAAAGCTAGTTGAGAAGTTTTGTTGCAGCAGCGATGAGGCTTGGAGCACTCTAAAGAGATGGGGAAACCATCAAGAAAATGTCCTTAATTTTGACCTAGGACGCAAAAATATTTTATTCATTGGCAACGGCTGAATTCCTTTCACCTGACCCCCCCCCCCCCCCCCCCCCCCCCCCCCCCGGTGCCTGAGCCATGGCCACCCCTGGAGGAGACCATTACGCAGCGCGAAGGCGGAACCAGGCACTTTCTCGGGCCAGGGGCGGGGGCGGCGGGGCTGGGGGTGAGCGCGCAGAGGCGCCCTCAGCACCGGGCGCTCGGGGACAGCGACCCGCGCCCGCCCCGCCCGGAGCCGCCCGCGCCCGCTGGCCGTCGCGGAGCGGGCCGCGGGGTGACGGGCAGGCGGGGCGCGGGGGAGGCCGGGGCCCGCCAGCGCCTCCAGGACGCCGCGCCCCGCGCGCCCGGCCCCCTCCCGACTCGCGCCCCCGCCCGGAGCCCGCCGGGCGCCCGCCGCCCTCGCCCCGCCGGCCCCGCGCCCGCCGCGCCCCGACCCCTTACCTCCCGTTCCGGGGGCTGCCGTTGAGGAACAGGGTCACCCGCCGCATCGCGCCGCCCGCGCCGGGTCCTGGGGGAGCCGCCACCCTCCCGCCCGGCTCCCCTCCCACCCGCGTCCTCTCCGGCCCGTCCCCTCCCGCCGCCCACTCGGACTCGCCGCCCTTCGCCACCTTCCTGCCCTGGCGGACACCGACACGCACGACGCGCGCACACCCCGTCCCGCACCGCCCGGCCGGTCCCTTCCCACCCCGCCCCTGGGCGCCGCAGCCCGTCTGGGCCCTTCCCCCATCGCGCCAGACGGACTCTAAGCTCCGCCAATCCACCGGCAGCGCCCGGCAGCGCTCAGCCAATCATCACGCGGCCTGGGGCGGACTCCCACTAGCCCCGCCCAGGGGAGGGAGGGAAGAGAAGCGGCCGCGTAGTGGACAGGAAGGGTTATCCGTCAATCAGAGCCGAACCTGGAGCCTAACGGCGGCCAGAGCAGTTACTGCGCAGGCGCAAACGCAACACCTGGTAGACCTCATCTGCATACGGAGGCGGGGTTTGAGGAAGGAGGAGCTTGAGCATACCTGTGCCCAGGTGTGGAGAGCTTTCCATTCAGTCTTTGGGGAGAATGCTGACCTGATCAGAAAGAGAGAAACTCTTAGTCCAAGACCAGCCATGACCCACCTCTGTGGGCAGAAAATGGGAACCTTAAAATGTGCTCTTGTGTTTATCCCAGTATTTGTTCTTGTTTTTATTCCAACAAATGCCTTCCATGTGCCAGGCACTGTTGAAGGAATGTGGAATAAATCAACGGAACAAAGCACCCCTGTCCAGCTGATCCTGTAGGAGCCACTTTTCCCATAATTCTCTAGATTTCTGCACCACGTGCTTATCATGTTCCCTCTCAGACTGGTACTTTGATGGAATTCAGGCCCTGGTTTCTTGTATTGATCCAATTTAAAAGGAAGTCTTCAGTCTTCAGTGGTACATGGAGAAAATATGCAAACGGATGAACTAAATAAAACAAAAATAAACTTTTAGACTGTAAGGGCAAATAAGCCCCACTGTCAGAGGCATAAGAGTTGGTAAATCGTTATTCAAGAACATCGCACACATGTAAGATAATTCCTTTAAGTAAAATAAGTCTTAAATCATTCTTTTGGGAGAATTAGAAATAATTATTAGTATGGAATTTTGGTGATTCACTAAAAAAAGACTCACAAAGAATAACTGAACACAATGGAATGAAGGAAAGAACTTTTTTAAAAAATGATTTATTTATTTATGCATACAAGAACTGGAGTACAGGCCACAGGTATGGGGGGTGAGAGGATTCACCAGTGACAGAGTGGGGAGCAGAACAGGCAGATCTACTGAAATATACTGCTAAGGGGAGTAGCAGGGGAGGCCTGCTGTGCCATGTGGGTCACCTCCCTGGCCGGGGATTAAACTCATGCTGCAGTGGCTGAGGGAAGCTTCATAGTTCTGTGTCTTAACCCCTTGCACCACCAGGGAGGCCCCGGGAAGAACTTCTTAATTGGGAAAGACTTCTGTGGATAAGGAGCGAAAGACCTGCTGAAATGAATGGAGAGAGAGAGCATGAGTGAGTGGGCCAAACCTTGAATCCTGATGCAATATATCTGTATTGGATATGAGAATTAACCAGGGACAGTAGCCCCTGATAACTTCAGCTCTAGCTGATGTGTGCAGTCACGGCCTGGTCTTTCCAGTGCATGCTTTCTAAGTACTAATCTCATTTTAGCTATTTTTGAAATTTGGGTAAGCTGAGGGTCTCAAGTCATTGAGAGATCCTGGTTACTTTCTGCTTAACTATTGGCTTAATTTCTCTCTTTACTGTCCTATTTTACTAGAAGCAGCAAGGAGGTTACTAGGCTATAGCTTCAATATGTTGCTTGGAAATCTGAGTCAAAGACCCAAGCTCATTATTTACCAGTTCTGCTTCCACACAGCTGTAGGGCACACACACTCCAAGTATGCTTTTTCCCACTAGATAACAACAATCTCCTTTCTTCCACTTTCAAATAACTTGTTTCTCTGTGGTACCTGAACCCTCACCATAACAAACTTAAATTTTTGTGTTCTCACCAATAATCTCCTGAGGAGATTCTCCTCAGGCTAAACTTATATGTTACAGGCTCCCTGGTGGGCTGGCTAATCCCACCACCCATAATATGGCTTACAATGCAGAAATATTCAGTAGGGAAGAACTGAATTCCAAAGAAGTTGACTTAGACAATTATTCCACACTGGTTAAAACTCTTAGAATAGTGATAGGAAGAATTCATCTTTGTCTCCTACTCATACTTCAATACAAAGCTATCTGACACTCAAACTTAATGCTCAAATGAAACTATTTTCTCCAACTTCAAAGTGCTCTGGCAACTATGTCCCTTCACTGCTCTTCTGTGTTTTTTCACTTAGTTTTGCTTACAGACTTTGTTCTTGTCAATGGGATTAGCCCATCAATCAGGATTCTATGCCAGTTCCTGTTTGCCAGGATTCACATGAATAGGGCTTTTCCTATAGTTCAGTGGTTTTACAGGGAGACTGAGGTGGAGAGAACAAAGCAGGGACTGGAAAGCAATGTGATAGTTTCAGCTAATACCCACCAGGTGAGCTGTTTGATTGTTTGATTGGATTAAGGAAGGAGAGAATTCAAAGAAGCTTCTATGGATTTTTGCACTTGCACTTAGGTAAATGGAGACTCCACTCAGAGTTGTGGGAAGTAGGCTATAAATAGTTTTTGAGGCAATATGTGAGGTTGGTTGCGAATCAAGACACAAGTTTTGCACAGTTAGCTTGAAAATAATTTCAACTGCCTACCTTCTAGTGCCCTAGTGACTGAAGAATGAAGGACAGTGGAACTGAGGGGCCCCATGTAACAATCCCCAGGTAAAAAATAACATGAACTCCCTCTCATAGTCTTTCAGATTTCCATGTCAGTAAAGATGTAGTGTTTGAGAAGATTAAGGGAGGATTAAAAGGTGCAAATGAGATTATGTAAATTAACAAAGTGTCCCACCTCTTAGTTTATAGTCCCAGGAAATCCCCCTACAACAGCAGTTCAAGACCACCTCCCTTTCTGGGGGAGGAGTCACCAGTCTTTCCTGCTTGGGGTTGTCATAGCCCCTCCTAGGGTCTATAAATACCCTGCTCACATCAGAAACCGCTCAGACTGCTAGCAGACTACCTCAGATCTCCCTTACAGGAGATCTACCTCAGAGACAAACCAGGCAAAGTAGCCAAGAGCCACCAAGAACCACCAGCCTCAGGTAAGTAGGGAGGTGTAGCAATGTGGGCATGGGTGAGGTAGACAGATAGAGGCTTACTGGCTTCCTGACCTTTCTACTCCCTTTAGGGCAGAAATCATGCACTTCCAAAGGAAATCTGATTTCTATTGCTTTTCAAAAAACACATGCCATTTCTTATGGCGCCTAGTCTCTCAATGAGCATTGTCCTAAATCACATAAATTTTGTTCACTTGATACACCCATTTCCCACCCTAGCCCTTGGAAGTATGTGTGTCTGCTTCAGGAAAACGGATTAGGTAGGATTTGTCATTGTATATTTTCCTTGTTGTTTTGTGTTGAAATCTGGGCTATTCTTCCACTGAGTTTGGCTACCCTGACACCCATTTCCATTATTTTTTTAAAGTTGTGGCATTTTCTAACAAGAGGACCCACTAGTCAAAAATAATGTGAGTGAAGGTGACTGAGCCAGGGGATCAGTGATTGTCTGGGCCCTGTCTCCTCCTGGAAGCTGATTTAGAGAGAGGGGAAGGAGGACAAACACGCTCGTGGGATTACAGCTTCCTGGAACCCTGGGAAGACCTGAGGAGAGTAGGTGCCGAGGAGACATCTGCTTCTCACCTCTCCCAGGGGCTGGAGGACCACGACTTGGTGGAAGGCGTTTGCCCAGAAAGCGCCTCTTACACAATGGCCTTTGCCGCCTGCCTGGCTGAGCTCCAAGCAGAGGCCAGCTGCCCCCTCTGCCTGGACTACCTGAGACACCCAGTGACCCTGGACTGCGGCCACAACTTCTGTGGCTCCTGCATCCGGCAGCGCTGGGAAGACCTCCAGGACATCTTGCCCTGTCCCGTGTGCCTCCAGCACTGCCCCGCCGGGAGCCTCAAGAGGAACACACAGTTATGTCGCATGGTGGACATTGTCAAGCAGCTTCCCGCCGAGAGAGGCCCAAAGCAGGAGGAAGGGGCCCTGTGTGAGAAGCACTGTCAGGTGCTGAGCCTGTTCTGTGAGGAGGACCTGCAGCTGCTGTGTCCCCAGTGCGGGGTGTGCTCTGACCACCGCGACCACCCGCTGACGCCCCTTGGGCCAGCTGCAGCCAGGCACAGGCGGCAGCTCAAAAGCTACATGGAGCTTCTGAAGCATCAGGTTGAAGTGGCTGAAACAGAGTGTGAAATGCAAATTTGCAGATCCATTGAACTGAAATGGAAGATGGAAAGCTGCAGGGAAGAATCACGCCCTGAATTTGAGGAACTTGGAACTTTCCTGAGAAAGGAGCAAGGGGCGATTCAAGCCCGGATGCTCATAGAGGAGAAGATCATAGGCGGAAAAATCGTGGAAAACAAGAGCCGGCTGTTAAGCCACCTGTCCACGCTGAAGAATCTGCTCATTGAAATCCCAGAGAAGTGTCTGCAGGGAGACCTGGAGTTACTGACTAGCGTCAAGAGGCTCCAGAGCAGGTGTGAGCTCCTGCAGTCTCCAGCAGTGATTTCCTATGAACTCCAGCGAGAGAGCTGCCCGCTCCCTCCGCATTACTTGGGCCTGCAAAACATCATGAGCGCCTTCCAGGAAGACTTGACCCTAGATCCGGCAAAGGCCCACCCAGGCCTTATTGTGTCCCAGGACAGAAAAAGTGTGACAGTGAGAACACTGCCGCCAGGCGGCCTCGGGGGCACCCGGGGTGCTCCTTCTCACCCAGGGGTCCAGAGTGCGGAGGGCTTTGATGCTGGCAGGCACTTCTGGCAGGTGGAAGCCAGAGGCACAAGGGCCTGGTGCCTAGGTGTGTGCAAAGAATCCTTCTGCACCAAGGCTCCGCGGTCACCGTGCCCGGGCCCTGTGTGCTGGCAGTTTCAGCCCTCGCTGTGGGCGCGGGGTCCGTGGGACCCAGAGCAAGTTGTGCGGATTGGGGTTTTTTTGGATTATGAGTTGGGGGAGCTTTCTTTTTTTGACCTGAATCGCAGGTGCTATTTGTATACATTCACTGACCTATTCACCGAAAAACTGATGCCCTATTTCTCCTTTGGGCCTTCCTCAAAACCCCTGACACTCAGCTTATTGTCTTAGAGGCGTGATCAACTACCGAGGTGACTATGTACGTGGGTATATTTTCTCCCCTTGTTATTGAAAGGGATACTCATAACATATATTTGTTTGCATATATGATTATTGAAATCCTTTAGGACTTGCCCTTTTATCTTCTCCTTAATTCCACCAGGAAAAGAAGTCCAAGCAATCCTTCCTTTAAGAAGGAAGGAAATGAAAACAAGCAAATGCCTGGTAGTTACAGAACCCTCACCCAACACTGTGTGCAGGCAGCAGAAACGCATTCCCTTGCGTCTTCTCCCTTAGCTCTCAGGCATTTTGGGACCTTCCCTGATAACCTTCCAACTCTCCCTGTAAAACCTCATTCTGTGCTTAATAAATTTTTTCATACCCTTTTGTCATAATATTCTGCTGAGTGTGATGTCATGAATTTTGTTATCATTATACTAAGCGATTATAAATTTATTTTGTTTTTTATTTTTTTGTGCTTCACATTCTAAGTTTTCTATTAAATCAAATTATTTTATTGTTTTTTATTGAGGTAACATTGGTTTACAAAACTGTATATGATTTAGGGGAAGAGATTCACACTTCATTGAGGTTTGCCACCACACCCAGGACCAAGCACCCACAGTCCTGTACCACAGACCACTGGGCACCTCCTCATTTTCTCCCATCGCTACACTCCCCCTTATAGCCTCCATTCTGCAGTTAAATTTCTAGGGTTTGTTTTGGTTTATTTTATTCAGCTCCTTTATTTTGTTTCTCTATAATATGCAGTATTTGCCTTTCTCCTTGTGACTTACATCATTTAGCATAATCCCCTCCAGATCTATCCAAAGGTGGACAGGAAAAAGAAAACCTCAAGGCACATTAAATTTAAATATAATACAGGGGGCTTCCCTTCTGGCACAAGGGGTTAAGTCGCAGCACTACAAAGCTATCCACAGACATTGTAGCATGAGTTTGAGTCCCGGCTGGCCAGGGAGCAACCCACATGGTGCAGCAGACCTCTCTTGTCTCCCCCTCTGTTTCTCTCAGCAGTGTATTTCAGTAGATCTGCCTGTTCTGCTCCCCACTCTGTCTCTGGTGGATCCTCTCATGGCCCTGCAACTCTGGCCTACGCCCCAGCTCTTGTGTACATAAATAAATAAAATAAATCTTAAAAAGTAAATATAATACAGAACATGCTCAAATTACACACACACAATAATACAAAAGTCTGCCTTGTGTATGTGTATATAATAGTCTTCTGGATGGATGCCCAAGTCAGTTAAGAATGGCCGTGTGGAAAAGGAGGAAGGAGACCGATGGTGTCCAAGCACTTTGCTTGTCAGTAACACATCTAAAGAATGTCCACTAGACTATTGCTTCAATCCCTATGGGCACCCATTATGTTTCTCTCTACCTGGTGGAAATGTCCATGTGCAAGACACCCTTAAGCCTCATGTCTCTTTCTGTTCTCTGGACCATTCTTCATGGAGGGTCTCCAGAAGGAATCTTTATGTCCCAGGCTTCAACCTCAGTACCTTCCCTTTAGCTGATAAAGACTGTTGCATAAATAACTCTATGAGATGCCTTCTACTAAGATTGATGAGATCAGCAAGATCTCAGTTAAAAATGTGCACCTGCCATTTTCTGTGAGTCATTTTACCAGGAGCAATGGGCAGTTCTCAGTTGCTTCTGACCCAGAGGTTTTGCTTTTATGCTCCTAGAGAGGCCTGATCTTCTCCCGCTTCCACTCTGCCCCCTGAACATCAGCGCAGTATGAAGGAGGGGAACAGTCTGGGGTGCTCTTCTCCCAGGAACTGGGGGGTGAAGAGCCAAGGATATCAACAACAGATGGCACCAAAGGAGGAAACCTGGTAATGAGCTCATGTGCTGGCCAAAGAGAGGAAACCTTGTGAGTCCAGCATGTGAGGAGGTGCTCCTGAGACTGGGAGCAAATTCAGGATCTTGAGAGTTCAGAAAACTCAAACTCAACCAGATAAGATTTCAAATATGGACACCAAGGTGCTGATAAAATTTGGAAATTGTCTCAGAACTGTGGTAGAGGAAAGTGACAGATGGCTTTTTCTGAGTGGGGAAGACACACCACAGTGAATCTTTTGGCCAAGAAGATATAAGCAACATGGGAACTATTTTTATTAATTGTCTGGTCAAAATACCAGTTTTCTGCACTGTGTGATAGAATTATTGCATCTTGTTTTGCTCCACAGTGCAGATGAAGGAAAGGATCAGCCCCCAAAGCTATTGCAGTGGTCATTTTTTTCTTACCAAAAATAGGATAAATGAAGTTGGTCAGGATTTTACACCATTGACCTCTGTGGTATCACCTATGGCCCTGACCTTGTTAATGGAGAGGGTGAGTGGGTGTGGGCACTTGTGCCTGACTATGGACACCTAAGCATGGGTGTGTGCGCATGTGCACGTGTGCACCCCTGTGCCTGGAGGGCACAGCTACTTGACTATGGTCAGTGGTCATTTTTCTGTCCTGAACATGTTTGATCCATCAGAAGCATTTGATGTAATTGATAACATAGGCCTGAAACATTTTCACTTTCAAATCACCAATCCAGGGTTTGTCTTTTCTTTCTGATCATTTCTTTGAATCTGAGTCTCTTTTACTAAAGACCCCAAACCTCCATTACCTTTAGCCATAAGTAGAGTTGCCAGACTAATACAGGATAATCATTTATTTTTGAACTATTGCATGGAACATACTTAGCTTAAAAAGCATTTGTTCTTTTACCTTCAGCTTGGGTCCCCTCCCTAAACTCTGACCCAGAGTTCCAGCCTCTACCTGACAGCTCCCCTCACATGTCGAGTGAGCACCAGTGACTTAATAGGCTCAGCACAGAGCCCCTGCTGATGTAACCTGTGCAGGCCGCCTCCTGCTGCCTCTCCTCTGCTTCTGCCAGTGCTTTCTCCAGCTTACCAGTTCCTCGGGCTAAAGAAATGGATGTGTCCTTGATGCTTTTTTTGTGTGTGTGTGGGACCCTCGCCGGCCACAGGGGAACGAACTAGTGCTGCACAGGCTGTGGGCAGCCTCGCAGCCTAGTGCTCAACCGCTGCGCCACCAGGGGAGGCCCCTTGATGCTTGTTTTATTCTCATGTCCTGTGCAGGATCAACACACGCTGTAGGTGTTACTGTCACGGTGGATCCAGAAATCAGCCACTTCTCATCACTCCCTCTGCCACCAGCATTTCATGCCTGGATTGCTAGAAGTTCCTAATGGCTCCCTGCTTCCTCCCTCTTCCTCTTTTCCATCGATTTTCAATACAGTAGCCAATGTTCCTGGTAAACTATAGATGGTAAACTATAGCCCTTTCTCCAGACCCTCCAGGGGCTTCCCCTGGACTCAGTAAAATAGCCAAAGTCCTTCTCATTGTAACAGGGTGGTCCCCAGGAAAGGGAGAGGTCCCAGGTTCCCTGCCCCACCCAAAAGGAGGTTGGAGCTGAGCAGAGAGAGGAGAGGCTGCAGAGGAGACTGAGGAAGGAAGGAAGCAGGATGGAGCCAGAAGGAGACCTGGAGGAGGCACTTGGAGCCGAGAGACACGTGAAGAAACTACACTTGCCTTTTGGTCATGGACTGGGTGACACAGATGTGGGTGAGAGACCCGTGGGGAGGTGACAATGGCGGTTTTTGTCTTGATTTTGATTTTGCTCTTTTCCCTCCAGACTTGTCTGGTTGTTTCTGATCCTTTTCTGTGGGTCCCCACTGGAAGATGCTTTAGACTTGTGGCAGGCTTTGGGGACTTGCTCTGGGCCAATCCTGCTTGGGTGGACTTTTACCCACGAGGGGACGTGGGTCACTTTGGGTGCTTGATTTAGAAACTCTATTCTTTGTCTTTCCTGTATTGTTTCCTAATTGTATTAAAGTTCTTTCCCATTAAAGTCTCCTATGTTTTGTGTTGATGCGGCGGATGGCAGAACCCATTTAGAGCAGGCAGGTTTGCGGGGTCTGGGCTGCCCCCTCTCCCTGTCCTGTAACACCATGACCTGCTGACCCGAGGCACAAGCCTCAGCTCTCTGACCTCACCTCCTAGATTCTCTCTCTCTGGTTCTCCCTGCCCAAGCACTTATTCTCCTTGTTACTCCCTGCACACTGTTCATGCATTCTAATCAAATATTTAATTCACTGAAAAATTGTAGTGCTCTACCATATGCTAGCAATTTAGGAGATAAAGTGATTTCAGAAGCAGTATTCTAACTCCCTCCTGGGTACAGAAGAGAAAAAAAAAAAAGATTCTAGTAGGTCATATATAATTTCCCCACGGTCTCACAGCATGCTTAGAATACTTTTTAAAAAATTGAAAAAGATATTTACATAAAAACATCTTCATATCTATGGTAATTTTTAAGCAAAAAGAAAATGCTTAGAGTCACTCAGAAGAAACACACACTCTCTTATACACCTTTCCCTACCTTCTCCACACTGCTGGGGACACAGTGATGCTGGTTAAAGGTGAAACAGATTAATTTGCCTGCCCATGACACCCCCTTTATTTTGCTCCTGAACTATGCATGGTGCCCTGTTATATTCAACAGAAAACGGTGCTTACAGAATGGCAAAAGCACGCAAGCGTGTAAGCCGACTGGCAGGTAGCAGTAGGAACCAGAGCTGATGTCAGCTTGTTCTAGATTAAGCTCCTATTCTGGGTCCATCCATCTTCAGAGGTGTCAGACTGCCCAAATAATGTATAATAAAATCAATACATAGAAAAATCAAGGGACACAGGTGATTTATTACATATCCCAAAACTCTACAAAACGAACTCCCTGCTTCCCTTTGAGTTAAACATTTGGACCAGCCTGAAGGTGATTTTTCTAAAACTTTACTATTTTGAAATAATTATACAGTCACAGGAACTTTCAAAGATAGTGCACAGAAGTCCCAAGTATCTGTCACCCATATCCCCATGTTTCTTAACAATAACCTATCAAAGCTGGGAATTAGCATTTGTCTTACAAACAATATTTGAGGGCCTCCCTGGTGGAACAAAGAGTTAAGATGCAG